CCCAGAATAAATTTTGTTTTTTTTTTTAAATCAGACCGTTGGGCCCGTACTCGGACCGGCCCGACCCGTGGCCCGGGTAGACCCAACGGCTAGTACGGTATGGGCAGGGCGCCCGCGCTGACACTTGACAGTCTGTCGGGTCGGTCCGGTCCGGTCCGGTTGACCCGGCCCGACCCGGAAAATATATAAGAAAAATAAATGAAACCGTTGCCGGCGACCCGGACCGGCCAGGACCGCCGAGACGAAATTTTTTTTTTTTAACCTGGACCGAACCGCGGCCCTTGCGGTTCGGTCCTATGGACCGGCCCTTATAGGGCCGGTTACGGGCCGGTCCGAGCCGGTTCGGAGCCGGTTCCCGGTCCGGGTCGCGGGCCAGTTCGGCCCGTGGCCACGTCTAATCATATTGTATCTTACAGGACTTGACAACACATAAAATGATCGGTTCTGCTGAGTTAAAAGATGGTCTCTATCAACTTACAGTTGCTGACTCAACTAATAAATTCATGATTTCTGCAAACGTATCTACTACATTGTACCCTTTATCTTTACTTATAATTCATGATTATGTGAACAATATTATATGGCATAACAAGTTGGGTCATCTCTCATATTCAAAACTGCAGAATTACATGTTCCATCTTTTAATAGTAAGAACAGGCAGTCTTTACCGTGTGATGTGTATCATTTTGCAAGTCAAATGAAACTCTCATTCCCAATTAGTCATTCTACCTTTGCATCCATATTTGAACTTATACACTGTGATGTGTATCATTTTTCCAAGTTCACAAGTGAGATCTGACTTGGGCGTTGGGATTTTTCCACTTACACCTTTTCCAGCGTATTTTGCAGGTCACCAGAGCTCAGAGCTCAGGTTGAATGGCGGTTCGTGAGGTTGTTGGTCTGAAATCCAAGCGGATAGTGGATAGCTAATTGTATAGCGAATAGCTGATAGGAGATCATTACAACAGATTTGACCAACGAATTCTATTATCTGTTTGAAAATAATTGTTTGGTAAATTTGAATTATTTACCTATTTTGGGAAATTTTATGTTGATATGTTGTTCTACAAATTCTCTATTCTCAAAATGCTCTTATGTTAGAGTTTTTTTTTTAAATTATCGTTTTGGGGTCAAATGCAAATCAAATAAGCTATTTACCAAATAAGATAATTAGCAGATGTTCCACAAAAATGGACTGTTTTTTGTTTTATTAGCTAAAGTTAATAATGATAAAAATGGATAAACTATATAACATAAAAAAATGTAATTTAAAATCATAAAAATATTTAAATTTTGTATTATAACATTATTTGTATACAAAACAGTATATATACTTAATTCTTATTATAAAGTAATGTATTATATTCCAAAAAGAAAAATGAATACTTGTTATATAGCTTTTGGTAGGAATTACTTCGAGACAGTAGAATAGGATTCTCAACCAAAAATCAGCTAGTGGATTAATAACAAACCAATGAAACCATCAAATAACCAAACCCACACGTTACCATTAATAAAACACAAGTATAAGCTAAAAGCCAAAACCCACTCGTCACCAAGAAAGCACAAGTTTCTGTACAGACTGTATGACTCGGGCTAGTTTGATTGATCCGTTTTATTTATTTTTAAATGCACAGATGTTAAGAAATGTTATATTTTATTTATGTTGTTTGTCTATATTTCAGATTAAATATATATATATATTTATTTATTGTAATAATTACAATTGTTTGTCTATAAATAAATATATATTTTCCACACATCTCTAGACTTCACTGCAAAATATCTTGCAGATTCTACTCTTTTACATCACTCCCAATTCTTTGTATGAACAAACACCAATAAATTAAGTTTTAGAACGTGACCCATTTATAGAATGACAGCACATTAAAAGAAATCTGAAATTTATATGCAGAGAGAGAGAGAGAGAGAGAAAGACGAGAGTTTTTAGAGAGAGAGAGAGAGAGAGTATGAAGGCAGAAGAAGAAAGAGGGCCACATGGCCCACATCCATTGTTGAAGGGAGGTAGAAAGAATGGGCAATCCTCAAGCTACAGCCATGGCTTCTCACCTTCACAGATCCAATCATTGACTGCCATCTGTCGCACTCTCATTCCTTCCCTCCAAACTGGCGATGATAATGATGAGTTCTACCAATCTTCAGGCCCTGATGAGGTAGTAAATAGTAATACACACTATAATAATTTGAATTTCAGTGAGCTTGATTTAGTTCCTTACTCTTATTATTTTAGTTTATTTTAGTTCTTTTGGTTTATTGATTTTTTTCTTTTTTTTTCGTTCTTGTGTACTTTGCTTGAAATATTTTATGGGTTTGGGAATATTCGTAGATTATGAGGTTTGGTGCCTGATAAGGAATTTTGTGTGTCCCATTATGTTCAAATGTCTGATGGGAATTTGTATGTATAGTTTCAATTGAAGTTGAGTTGTTTGTAGTAATAAATGGTATTTNCCTTCTGAGTAATCAATGAGCTTAGTTGAAGTTATAACTGTGAACTGTACTAACAATCTGAAATTTCTTTTTTGTAATTAATTAGTTATATTTTCTTTCCGATTTCGGCCAGAATCGTTATGAACTAATCGGGTCAACTCGTGAAGAGTCTAAGGTTATGTTTGGTAAGACCTAGCTGAAAAGTTATGTTGATAGTCGATAAGTTAACTGATAGTTTATAAGTTAACTTCACGCTCATAACTCGTGATAGCTTGATAGCTTGAGACTAATGGTTGAAAAGCTAGCTGATATAATAAAAATGTTTAGCAAAATTAGCTGATAAGTTAATTGAAACAAAAATCTCGATAGTATTTTTGAAATGCTACCTCTATAAGCTCAAGATATTAAAAAAGCTCATCCTAACTTATTAATTTCATGATTTCATTCATAGTGTGCAAATTTTGCATAATGTGTGTAATTTTGCAAATTCTCTATTAGTAGTTTCGTCGAGAGAGAATTCGTTTCATACTCATATTTTAAGCTCTTTTTTTAATCATACAATCAACTAATCTGTGCTGTTGTAATGCCATTAGGTGGCAGAGTTTATGATGAAGAGGGGTGTACCCGAAGCAGTGTTCATTGTACGCATAGTGCTGAGATTATTATCAAGCAGATTGGGGACACTTTTGCTATGCGGGCGTATTTGTTTGAACCGAAAATGGCCATTTGTGCACTGTTTTTCCGAGTTGCCTTTGAACAAAAGAGAAACTATCCTTCAAACATGGTCGAAGGAGACCTTTCTGCTGCCCTTGAGAATATCGTTCTTAATGCTAAAAGCCCTCTGTCTCTTTATCTTTTTCTCTCGGGTAAACATCTTGTTCATTTACTGCTATTTCCTCGACGTCACTCGCATTCTTCCTTTCTTGCTGGTTTCAGTATTTTGTGAAAAAATGACATGTCTTTTTTTAGTATTTCATTCGACTCGGATTGTGTTTTTATTACTATTTCATTAGTTTGGTTTTTTTTTTCTTCTTTTTTCTCGTACCGTTATGCAGATTGATGAAAATTCAACTAACCCGGCATGGAAAGCCATCGGATATCAAGTGGAAGCCGTGGAGAAACCCACACCACCACAAATCGAAAGGCCGCTCGAAAAGGGAATTATCGAGACCACGAACCAAAACGGGCCTTCCCTAAAAGAATCCCTAATCCAAAAGGGCATACATATCACGAACGACACAAACGACAAAAATGCATACAGAATCAAATGCGATGTCGTGATCGTGGGTTCGGGCTGTGGAGGCGGAGTTGCGGCAGCAATCCTCGCGAAATCGGGCCACAAAGTGCTCGTCCTCGAAAAAGGCCACTACTTTGTGGCCCGAGATTATTCGGGCCTCGAAGGCCCGTCTATATCCGAGCTCTACGAGTCTGGCGGGATGCTCTCGACTCGAGACGGAAAAATAATGATCTTGGCCGGATCAACGGTCGGCGGAGGCTCGTCAGTAAATTGGTCCGCGTGCATAAGAACGCCGGATCACATCCTCCGAGAATGGTCCCACAAAAACAAGATTCCATTTTTCGACACGTGCGAATATCGATCCGCGATGGATCGCGTGTGCGAAAGGATCGGCGTCACGGAGAATTGCGCGGAAGAAGGGTTTAATAACCGAGTGCTTCGAAAGGGTTGCGATAATCTCGGCCTAAAAGTCGAGCGCGTGCCGAGAAATGCATCGACCGACCACTATTGCGGCTCTTGTAGTTACGGTTGTAGAAGGGGTGATAAAAAAGGGACCGACTTAACTTGGCTAGTCGATGCCGTCGAGAACGGCGCGGTGATCTTATCCGGATGTAAAGCCGAAAAATTCATCCTTAACGACGAAAAGCCTCGGAAAAAGTGCGTTGGAGTTATTGCGAGCACTGAAATCACGAAGAATGTGACGAAAAACAAACTCATTATCGAAGCTAAGGCGACGATTTCCGCATGCGGCGCTCTTTCGACGCCTCCATTGTTAATTTCGAGTGGCTTGACGAACAAGAACATCGGGGAGAATTTGCACTTGCATCCCGTCTCGTTCGTGTGGGGTTACTTTCCGGAACCTTCCGCGGAGCTCGGAGGGAAAAGCTTCGAGGGTGGGATCATAACTTCGTTCCACAAGGTTCGATCGAATGATGAAGAATCGAATGAGATGCAAGCTATAGTCGAGACCGCGGGCCTCGGGCCCGCCTCGTTTGGTTGCTTGTCCCCATGGATTTCGAGGGAAGAAGCACACGAGCGCATGTTGAGATACTCGAGAACGGCCATTTTGTTTGCTTTGCCGAGAGATGAAGGCTCGGGGGAAGTTAAAAGGCATGGGCGGGTGAAGTACCGGTTTAGTGGGCCTGACCGGGAGAATCTTAAGATGGGCCTGAGACGGGCCTTGAGGATATTGATTGCAGCCGGGGCAGAGGAGGTCGGGACTTTTAGAAGCGATGGGCAGAGGATTAAATGCAGAGGGACTGCAAAGGAGGAGTTGGAAGAGTTTGTTGATGCGGTGGGCCCGGCTGGTGGGCCCAGGACGAGGTCGGAGCACTGGACCATCTACTGCTCGGCCCATCAGATGGGGAGCTGCAAGATGGGCCCGAATGAGGAGGAAGGGGCTGTGGACGAGAAGGGAGAGTGTTGGGAGGCTAAGGGATTGTTCGTGTGTGATGGGAGCGTGCTGCCATCGGCGGTTGGGATTAATCCGATGGTCACGATTCAGTCGACTGCTTACTGTATCGCGACTAGATTGGCCGAGTCGTTGGCGAGTGGAGAGATTTAGTAAGATGTTTTTGAGTAGTGACTAATGAATAATAAGGTTTTCATGCAGTAACGAAACGGAATTTATTGTAAGGTTTTGGGTAATAAATTGTTATTTCAATGTAACAACAATGGTAATGGATTACCAAATATTATGATTTCTAGTTATCCACATTGTGTTGGAAGATAAATCTATCTAGCTTTCACCATATCTTTGTTATGCAGCTCTAACATCAAATTTGATGGTTTGATAAACAATTGCTCTCATTTTTTTTTTCCTTTTTCAATCATTTTCTTTGTTGCTTCTCTCATCATTTAATCCATTTCCACCCCTAAATCCTACATGAAATTCACAACACAAACAGAAAACAGGCAAAAATATTTATTGATACGGGAAGAATAATAGCCTTGTCTGTCTCTTCAGAAATTAAGTACCACAAGGTGATTGTGGTTAGGGATAGGATCAGAAAGCTACTTTTCTTTATAAGAAATCAAGAATGACCGGAAATATTCTCCATAAACAATGGAGACCAAAACCAAAATGGTTTCGAAACCATCTGTTTCGATTTTCAAGTGGATCGATTTATATAATATCTTAACCCCAAAAAAACATGAAAACAAGGAAAAGTTGACTGCAACCAATGTACTCCGGGAAAAAAAGACGAGAGTTTCTTCAGCTTGATATGGCTTTGACAGCCTTTTCAGCTGCATCGTCCAAATCTTCAGCCGTAATCAAAGTCATGCCACTTTCCTACAAGTAATCAAGAAATTCAGAAATGGAAAATCAAAATATAAAAAAAAAAAAAAAAANAAAAAAAAAAAAAAAAAAGCGCTTGATCAAATCAATAGCACTTTTAATTTATCAAAGCTACATTTCCCAAGCTGATAAAATGGGAATTCGTATTCACCTTCAGAATCCTCTTTCCTTGATCGACATTGGTGCCTTCGAGACGGACAACCACGGGTACTTTCAGTTGAACCTTAAACAGAAGCACAATATTTATTCTCTCTCAGTTTAAAAGAAAAGTCACAACTGAAATAATTCGAATTTGCATCTTTTACCTGTTTCGCAGCATTCACAATCCCACTCGCTATTACATCACACTTCATAATCCCACCAAAAATGTTGACAAGTATAGCCTTCACCTTCTCGTCAGATGTCAAAATTTTAAAGGCTTCCACAACCTGATTGGTATATTCAACTAAGTAAAAAATATTTAACGAAAATTTGTGGAAATAGAGGACGAAACCAATCGAATATTTTTATTGTTATTGAAATATTAATTCCCAAAACCTATAAATATGCTTTCAGATTATTTAAAAGGAAAATGAACCCACGTTCGAATTTGTAAAAGAGTCATAATAAGAAGTACCTGGCCTTCAGAAGCATTTCCCCCAACATCAAGAAAATTGGCAGGTGTTCCTCCATGTAACTTAATAATGTCCATTGTTGCCATAGCCAGCCCAGCACCATTTACCATACAACCAATTTCTCCGTCTAAGCCAATGTAATTCAAATCGGCTTTTGCTGCAGCAACCTGAAAAGTAAAATAAAAGATGAATTGCAGAGAGGATAAACATCCAGAGAAACAAATATTTATTAGCTTCTTCAAAAGCCTCATACATAAAGGTTAAGATTGATTACCTCACGAGGATCTTCTTGGGTAGGATCCCGAAGAGCAAAAATCTCTTTCTGGCGGAAAGCAGCATTATCATCAAAGTTTAGTTTTGCATCAGCAGCTACCAACTGCTTATCCGCAGTCTCGGCAATAGGATTGATCTGTCATAAAATAATACTTTGAAGTTAGAAATAATAAAAAGTTGAAATGTCAAATATAAGGCTCTGAGGTTATAAATAGTAAGAATGTCAACAGTATATAAATCTACAAGAGGACAGATAGAGCACTTCGGACAAAAGTCAATTGAAACTTTATCACCTCACCTCCAACAGCGTGCAATCACATTTGCAGAAAAGTTCGTACAGCTTCTTCACTTGTTCAATCGAAGCATTTCTATCAGCCACTGTGGGTGACAGACCATCAACTACCTTGGCAGCATCATCATCAGTAATTCCTGTGAAAACGTCAATAGGCACCTGACCCAGGAAAGATTATATAACATAAGTCAGTAAAAAATCATTTCTACAACACGGATTCAGAATTAGGGAAGGGAGTCCAACCTTTACAATCAGCTCGGGGTGTTTCTCTGCAAGATCTTCAATACTGGTTCCTCCCTTTTTACAGGCAATAATAATCTGCAAGATATAGATGATAACACGTGACTCAGAAGATAGCAAGATAACTTTACTAAATGTGCCACACGTTTGGCCAAGGCATTAATTATATGTAAACTCATAATGAATTAGTCGACATGCATAATAAAAATTTCAAATATAGGAGATTTAACAATAGGCAACAGCAATAGATGAAAGTTCTATAATTAAGAGACTCCTAATACAAATCCGTACTACAAGAATAGAACATTATGACATAAATGTATAGTTTACGAACAATCCCCTGAAGTTCACGAACAATGTAAATGGATAGAATGAGGACATTAGCCATGGAGAACATAAGATCAGTATGCAACCTACTGATCAAGGTAAGTCCCTTAGTTTCATTTATCTGTTACAAATTAGCTGTATAAGCACATCAGATAATAATTTATAAAAAAAAAAAATACATAACCGAGCCAAATGAAGTAATAGAAAGAAGTGCAAAGGGGATGATGGCTTTGATACGCAACAAAAATTCAAATACAAATAGAGCTTCCATCTTTAGGAACTTACAGGACCAGCAGAGATGCGATCAAGAGTAATTGCAAAATACATCTCATTGACTAGGGATAGCTTCTCAGCCAAATACACCTGAAAAAGACAACAAATAGAATTACCTTATGAGCACATAAAGGAGTGAAAGTTCCTGCAGAAAAAATAGATAACAGCAGTGTATAACCGGAGAACGTACACCAAAGGCAATAACATCATTGTATGGAGAAATATTTCCAGTTAGTTATTAAGAAACAAGCAAAAAATTATTTTATGTTCAATGGAACTATTCAGGCAACTCTGACTGAAAGAAAAGTTCAAATAAAATCTTCTAACAAGTAGGCAAGGATTGTGATGCACGTATGATGCGAATAAAACAAATTAAAGATTCACGCAAATTGTAGATAAGTATTAGAATAAAATTAGTAGTGAAAGTGCACAAAATCATGTCGGCAGTCAAATAGTTTTGAAACTGCTGCTACATTTTCTTATTGTTCTTAATTAATATTAATCTAAGCATTTTTTTACCAATCAATAGCAACAGCTTTTTCTCATAATAAGTAAATTTATATACCAATCAATTATCATTCATCACACATCAGAAGTTGACTAACTATACAATTGAAATTACGTAAAGTCACAGGGAATCTTGAACAAAAATTCGACAAGAACGTAATTAAACATAAGTGATTGTCACCGACAGATTATTTATAGGTTTCAGTCGCGATTGTAGGCATATATGTACATTCAAAATTTTCATAATCAAAGTAGAAACAAGGCCAAACCTTGCTGACAACTTTTCCTTGAGGCCCAGTTTGCTTAGTAACAAGTATCTGACCGAGCATTTTCCCTGAGATAACATAACTTCATATTATAATAGCTGTTAAGAAATGAGTAGCTGCTATAAACATTGGATCAAGAGAATTACTCCCCACAAGAATGTCTTGCATAAGATGAAAAATAAAAAAGTGGTGGATAATGGTCCTGAATGGTGTCACTATGCAGTTTTATGATCCACCAACCAAAACTACATCAAAGATGGATGGTGTATTATAACAGTCTGAAAAAGAAAATGACACAAAGTAATACAATTCATAAACCGAGGGAGATTAAGAGAAGTTCTATAACACCTAGTAGTTGTTAACACTCAAATTCCATATAAATTGTTCTTACCAGCTATATCCTCAACTTGATCAGCCTTTACGATATGAACTCCCCCCTGGAGACCACTCTTGAATGTCCCCAGCCCTCGACCACCAGCAAGAATTTGAGACTTCACAACCACCTACAACAAAAAATTGCCTCAGGATATTATTTAGTTTTTTATACTGTTTGCTTAAAAAAAGACCCAAGATCTTTCAACTATAAAGTTAACAAAATTATTCTATTCATCAATTAAGAAAACAAGGAAAAGAAAAAGTATCATCCTCGAACTACCTCACTCTCATTAGGAAACACTTCTCGCAACGACTTCCTAACTTCATCGACAGAACCAACGGCCACACCTTTTGGAACATTTATTCCATGTTTGCTCATCAACTCCGCTCCCTGCCATCGTTATTTAACAATTCAAATTCATTGTTAGCTAGTAACATCTCCATGGTGAATTTAGGTTCATCTTTAGTTAGAAACATTTCAATGATGACCTATAACGTTTTCAACAATAGCCCGTTCAAACATCAGTTACCACGCCCAAAAACTTACAGCCCTAAACCTAAAACGCAGTTTCAGTTAATACCTATGCTGAAATTTGCAGAACAAAAACCGAACTGAAAAGTGCAAAACAGATCACGCTCGAAATTTCAAAATCAGAGCATGAGAGTGCGTGATATAGGAGCGATTGCCTGGCAGGGATACCTGATACTCATGTATGTTGAGACGGCGGAGCTGTTGCTGCTGCCATTTCCCAGCGGCGGAGAGCGAGCGACCGGCGATTTTGCCTAACAAACCTCTCACCATTTTCTTTATATCTCTGCCTTCTTTAAAATCTTTCAACGCAAGATCGAACTGGAAGCAAACAGTCAATGTAACGAAAATTACAGAGACGCCGTAAACCCTAATAGTAAAACGGGGAAAGGCAGCGGCGGAGGCGGAGAAACTGACCTTGTCGCCGGCGTGAAAAGCTTGGACCCTAAAGTTATGTAATGTTTGACCTTTATAATTTATTACTTTATTATATTTTTTCCATTTTCAAGCCCTTTTGCGACAACTTTTTATTTATTATCTGTTATTTTTCATTTAGTTTAGTTAATAGAATTAGAGATCTTGACATTTTGCATAATGGATGTGACATTTTAAAAAGGAAAATGTGAGATAAATCTAATATTATAATTGAATACGTNTACCAGCCTAAGGTTATTTTGTTTTTCAAACATATTACATATACTTAGCTGAAAAAAGAAATTCATCGATTCAAGTTTTTTTATTCTTGGTACAATTAATTAAAACAAAATAACTAGTATTGACAATTAGGAATAAAATGTTTATTTAAAATATAATAAAATTACATTTTTCAACATCTCCTATATATAAGCTGAACCTAAATATATAGTATACTTGGATGTTTCGAGATCATATCAAATTTTCATACTTTGTTATTTGGCTTAGATAAATTTTAATGTACTCCAATCTAAAAATAATCAGGTCTGAAATAATGATTAATATTATAATATACTAGATATTAATTATTATTTTTATGAGCATTAATTATATTTTAATATCATCCCCTATTCTGCAAGCGGTTTATAAATCATATTTTTTCCTTTTTCTTTTTTTTTTATCATCTTATTTCTTCTAAAATTGTAAGAGAAAATTACTAATGTAAATTATAAATATATCTTAAAACTTAATAATTTTATGTTCATTACAATTTTTTATATTAAATATATCAAATTAATCATCTCTTGATGAATTTCAATATGACATCTATGTGGCATATAAAGTGAATAAATAATTTTATTTACCTTTATAATAAATACTCCCTCTGTTTCGTTTTAAATGTCGTTGTAGGGTGTTAACTTTTTTGCAAATTAATTGTCGTCGGAAATATTATATTCATTCTTACATCTTTATTCTCTTTAACAAACATTATCTCTTATCATTATCTTTAAAAACCACCCATTAATAATTCAAAAACTAAATTTAACAAGATTAAAAAATAAGATTATTACACAACCCATTAAAATTGTAATTTAGAAGTTTTAAATTAAAACGACATTTAATAAGAAACGGAGGGAGTATTAAATTATCTATTAATATTACTTGGAAAAAAATAAAATTATTTAAATAATGTGACTACAAAGTAGTTAACTATATGATATAAGTTTAAAAATATTATAATATAAGATGAATCATTTTAAATATAAGTAACAATATATTTTTTCATTATTTTTTAATTTTAGGTATAATTTTTTTAATAATCATCCGTCTAGTACACGGTATTGCACTGGTTATACAAATTAATTCTTATAACCACACTAAAGAGCTTCTTTATTGCTATCATGATTCAATCTTCAGGTGGTATGGTACACCTTCACCTGCATTATTAGACGTATCAAAGCCAGAAAACACAACCGCAAAGCTCATGAAGAACCCAAAAAAGAAAAAAGAAAAAGTTACCATCACTAGTTAATATATATGGTGAATAGATAAAGGCATAAATGCAGTCATCTGAACCAGCTCATTACTTTTGTCTTAATGAAGCCATTAAGACATCTCCTCTTCATTGAATGCATGTTTGTCATAGAAACACTATAAATAGTGTGCATGCAAGACATATGAAAGAAACACCAAGTGAAACAAAAGGAAAAATAACATGTACTATTCTCTTTCAACCTCTACAAGTCTTAGAAAAAAATTAAGGGTTCTTGGCGACTGAGATTTTGATCGAGGTGAGTGTGTTAGATAGTGCAGTCTTCACAGTTTGAGCCGTCTTATCCTCGGAGAAAAGGCGTAGTACTCGTTGCACAGTATCGGGGCGTTCGTTTCTTCAAGAAAACAGATTTTCTGTGATTCGGCTATTCGTGTTCTATGACATATAGAACTGTCAGTTAAATTTTATTTTTATAATAAATTTATTTATCTATTAATAGAAATCTGGTTTTATCTCATGTTCCCGTGGTTGATGTTTGTAGCTTCTATTTACAAATTCTTAATACGTATATATGTGTTAAAACTCGTCTTTAATTTGCCGTTTATAATTAATTTTTTTATACAACACTTCAAAAGCATGAGCAATAATAAGATAACGAGCAGTTAAACATTTACCAACCAAAACCCTTTTCAGAAAGTCATTAAATCCACGCTTTGACAAGAATAAGGTGACAAGCAAACGTAAAATTCTCGGCTAAGCAAAACGTCGAACACATGGCGCGCAACTAACGGACGATACAATTTCAGACCCCAAACTTGAGGAAATTATAACGTAATCCGCCATTTTTAGCCTCCGTGTGTGCGTGCATGTGTGAAAAATGTACAGATAACGATGCACTGAGAAAATGAGAACCTTCTAGAACTTGCTCGAGGTTCCCAGCGTACTTCAGCTACAGAGGCTATAGTGGCTACAGTCAACGTCTTTTTCAAAAGTTAAAACTTCTGTAGCTTTTTTTTAGTGTTCAGTATTTTTTCGTATTTTTATTTATTTTATTAGGAGAAGCAGAAAATAGAAGAAGAGAGATTAAAGAAATTAACCAAGGAGTACGATCAAATAATATTCTAATATCACCCAAAATGCCACTGGTGTTCAAGTTATTATCTTATCTCGATTAGATTGAAGGGACGTGACAGCCATCACCAATAATTTTTTTGATATAAATATATCACTTAAAAAGACTATGACAATCAGTTCAAATACGAACTCGACTTTGTAGGATTAATTTACCTAGCAGTTCGGCAAAATAGATTGGAGATCGAGAAAATGTTAGTGACACAGACAATTTACCTCGCGAGCTAGTTAGTGTCTCTAAACGATCTAACTATGCTCAACCTAGTGAGCTCATGAGGTTAGTATAACGATAGAGAAACAAAAGAGGTAAAAAGTTTTGAGTTACAAACGTACGGAACATTTTTAACAGGAACATTTTTAACAGTTTAACTCTAAGAGCATCTCCAATGCTCCACTTTGAACATTAATTAAATTTGAACACATGTCAAATGATGAATGGAATGTAAATCCATGTAATATGAATGTCAAAAGAGAAGACTTTAACTTGGAATGCACATCTCCAATGCATCCCTTTCAAAAGCTTAAAATAGGTTAGATTTTTGATGAGTTGGCTTTCAAACACTCTTTGGAAAACTAGAAAGTGAGCTTCACACTTTGGATGTTTATTGTCTCCATGTCAGCATAAAAGAGTGCATAACATTATGGATTGGAGATTAATTTTTGTTTTCACTTTATAACTTGATGATGTGGCTAACATTTTATTAAGTCAACATCTCACATTGGAGATGCTCTAAACTTCTTACTTTGATCCCCAATAATAGTATTATGATTATTAAGGGTGTGATTGTTTATCAATTCAATTAAAAAATAGCCAATCAAAACTCAAATTTAACTCAACTTTAACTCAACATCACTATCTCCATTGTTACGTTACCAATATAATTAAATAATACCAACCAATCATTCTTATACCTCACATCAACTTTAATTCACTATTTATCCACTCACATAATTTTAATTAATTATCACTTCCAATTATTTTTTCTGACTTTTACATCATAACACAACTTTAATTATTTTATTTTAATATATTTACTAACAACTAACTATACCACTTTTTTTTTAAAATTAATTATAATTAAAAAAAATCAATTAATAACTAGTTGAATTCGTAAACAATTACCACGTAACACTTCACAAACGAGACTCCTGAATGTTGCGAAAGGACAACTCTACCCCCACATATCTTCAAAAGTCACCCAAAACAATAAAACCATATAGCTCACTGCACACCACAGAAATAAAAATCAAACCAAAATCTGACTACAAAACCCCATAACATAAATAGTTGACTCATACAAAATGACACATACTAAAAAAGAACAAAATAAAATAAAAAAATCACTACAAAGTACAAACTTCACTCTCTCCTCACATAAGCGACTTGAGAGACCTAGCCTTGATCGGCTTCCTTGCTCTTTTCCTCTCCTTTTTCTCTTCTTCTTCTCCCTCGAGCTCTTCATAGTCGGGCTCATCATTATCCGACTCTTCGCACGAATAATCATGCCTCTTGTTAGTGGTGCCGCCATTATCATCAGCCTCACAATTTGGGCCTCTTTTCTTGGCCCACCGGGGCCCAAAGCCCGAGTAGTAGTAGAACTCATAGGGGTTGGTGGAGGAGGAAGAGGAGGAGGACTTCTTGGGCCGGGCCTGGCGGTGGGCCTTGGGTTTTCTAGCGGCCGGGCCGTAGGCATAGCTCGAGTCATTTTTCTCGGCCGTCGGGGAAATTTGCTGCTCCACTTTCAAGGAATATTCCGATTGCTTCTCGCCTCTGTAGCAGATGGCAGAAATAAGAGAGATGGGTATTTGCGTGTGTGCTTTTATAATTATAATTATATTAATGATAATAATTGCGATTTATGTAAATTTCTATCGATGAACGAATAGAAAGGGGAAAATTTTGATGTGCAGAACTATAATCAGGGGCACAAACCCTAAGCGAAATTATCTTTTGTAATAGTAATGCCGTAAAAACATTGAGTGTCAGCAGAGATTGAAATGGTTACCTTTTTCTGGAACAAGAACAGTCATTGAAGCTCCCATTTCCGGCGGCGAAAGCACCTGCACCGGCCTATAACAGATTTATCCGATTTCGATGAAAATGGAGACATTAGAGAAAAGGGAAAAAAAAAATAGCCATAAAATAAATCGAAAATCCCCGGGCGCCAATCATGTGGACGAACACGCTTTCTGCACTGCCCTAGTGGCGGGCATGAAGAAAACCCTAGAAGAGCAAAACAAAAATAGGAAAAAAAATAATGGATAATAACGAGCGGCGCATAAATGCAGAAAGATTTTTTAGGGGAATAGAGGGCGGGGGGAGCAGATCCGGCTGCTTGCGGGGTGGGAGGAGCTTCTCCGGCATGAACATTGGGCCTACCTTGGGCGGCGGCGGAGGCGGCTGAGGAGGAACTGACGGCGGGGCGAACTCCATTGCGTCCCACGGCGACTGATTGAGCTGGCAGGCGTGGGTTTGGAGGGGCGGCGCCGGGGAAATTTTGGCGTGCCGTCGTATTCTCATGGGGGCCGAAAATGGGAAGGAGGTTTTTTGTGGTGTGGGGGTGGGGACGACGACGGGCGTTAGATCCAAATATTGCTCTTTTTTCTTTTTTTATTTTTATTTTTTTTTGCTTTTCATCTCTCTCATCTCTGTGTATATATATGTATGTATGTGCGTGACTGTACGGGGCGTTTGGACGAGTGTCTGAGCATTGTTTGTGTGTGAATGGGCAGTTGGGACATGTGGGCAAAGGACCCGGCCCGCTAGTTCTTGGCCAGACACCCAGCAGGTCGCCGGCCCAATAAGTTAGTAACGAAACTGGCCCAAGGAAGGTATGAAAAACTACATAATTGTCCATATATTAAAAAAACACTATAAAAAATACACACTCTCTACAATTCTATAAAAAATACACGTCACAAGTGACGTTCTTCTGTTCGAAATACGAACTGCATCTCCGTCGTCTCGCACGGACAAAGACCTTTTTCGGTGATTATTTCTTGACGAACCTGCTTTGTCTTGCCACCCGTAACTGAACGTGATTACCTCTCTGGGTGGGTCTTTCACCCTTCTCGGGTTTGGTTCCAATCCTCTCTCATCTTCTTCATCCATCCGTTCCTCATATTAGAGACGCTTGTTTCCCTCGGCGGTCCTCGTGAGTTTTCGGACTTGCGGATCGCCGATGAGTTTCAAAAGTGCTGAAATCAAGTTGCGACACTGGTCGGTGTTGTGGCCGTGAGATTTATGTTAGGCACATTATCGGGACTTCTCGAGATGATATTTGTCGATGTCGGATTTGCATTAAATAGTAGGTCAAATTATGGTCAATGTCGGATTTGCATTAAATATTTTCCAAAATTGGTAAGTTTTTGTCCTTTTCACACTTCTCATTAATTATGTCCTTTTCACACATCTAATTAATTCATTAATTACAACATAATTATCATAAATCATTCCATCTGAGCTTTTATCGTTTAAATGTATAGCGATCTGTTATGACCTTATCCTATTGATATTTCCATGAAACGTCCTTATCGCGTTCTATTTTTTGGTAATCACTCTATATCAATAACTGAATATTTGGTTAATGATAGCACACGTCTTTATTTCAAGGAGCGAATATTCTTTGACCTTTAATTAATCTGAACTGATTGCCTTGACTTTTCAATTTTTAGAAACTCTTTTTTTAATATTTCGGCTTAAGATTCGAATTTCATTATACAAGTCATTGGATTGTTTGAATGAAAATGAATGAAAAGAACACCAAAAACAGGTAGCCTTATTCATATAATCAATCCTAAAATATTAGTTTGTTCACCAAAAAGAGACAAATCCTAGAAATCCTAAAATATTAGTTTGTTCAGTAATCCTAAAATATTAGTTTGTTCACCAAAAATATTAGATTGATTTTTAGGATTTGTCTCTTTTGAAAATATTAGTTTGTGATAATGAGGAGTTACCAAATAATCAAACTCATAATGTTGTGTACAAGGAGGTTTTTAATAATATATGATTGTTACCGAACTTTTTATGATTCAACAATGTTCCTATGTATTTTAATGATTTCAATTTCGATCCTAATGCACGTGAGGTTATATTATTCTTTCAAATTTTACATCCCGTGCATCGCACGGGTTATGTACTAGTTCACTCATATTTAAAATAATCGAGTATACATAATTAAATTTTGAAATGTTTTTACAAATTATCTATAAATACATAATTTTTTTCATATTCGATTTGAGTGTAAAAAATACCATATATTTATAAATATAACATCACATATGTTATATAGAGAGAGATGGTTTCAAGTGAGAATGTTTAAGAAGATATCGTAGCCATAGATCAGATAATCGAACAAATAATAATAATAATAATAATAATAATAATAATAATAATAATAATAATAATAACTTTTAAATTTTCCAGTCACTCATCAAACAATCCCATCCACACACCCACACCCATTCCCGACGAATTCCCAGACGACGACGACGCCACTGATTCTCCTCCTCTTGCGCAGTTGACGGCCTTGCCTCGTAGAACTAAGGTTGTAAACAAATCAAATTTTTTTGATTCGATTCGGTATTCGAATTCGATATTCGCGATTCGAATTCGAATTCGAATTCGAAATATTCGAATTCGAATTCGAATTCGAATGATATTTTATATTCGAAAGGTAAACGAATTCGAATTCGAATTTCTGTATATTCGATTCGATATCCTTAACGAATATTCGATTCGTTAAGGATAATTATATAAATTTTATAAATTATATATAATATAAAATTTGTTTATATATTTATATATTATTATATATATAAGGATTATATTATTATGACATAAAAATAAAATACAAATACACATTTTGTCTAAACACTATCCTAACCCTAATTCATAATTTCATACTCCCAGTCCCAGACCCAGCCCCCCGTCTTCACACTTCACTCTTCATTCTTCACTACAGTTTACAGCCGCTGCAATCACAAATCAGTCATCGGTTTCACTAGTCCGTCGCCCGGCGTCCCGTCCCAGACAATTTTCACAGTTGACCATCGGTTCTTGTCCAGTTGTCCGCGCTTCTCAGCTCACCGTCTCCTGCCTGTCCTCGTCGGCGCTCCTCAGTTCACCGCCGCACGCCTGTCCTCGTCGGCGCTCCTCAGTCCGGCTCCTCGTCTGTATCTGGTAATTGTAATAAATGGCCCAGTAGAAATTTGTGTTAGCAGTTCATGTTATTGGTGGTGTGACCTGCACAATTCAAGCGAAATCCAGTGCTAATGGCGAATCTTGCTTATGTGCTTATTGTCCACCAAAATCTTTTTTTATTTTTTGTGCTGATTTAAGTTAGTCTGGGTTTGGTTTCACCGTCTTGGTCTTTATTTATGCAAATAGTTAAAATTGAGTTATGGTTCTTTTAATCTTATGGACTCGGTCGCAAATCTAAGTGTATTCCTCTCGAAACTAAGCGTTATCTTAAGAATTTAGGTATAATGGATGATTTCTTGACTATGGGCATTATTGAATATTTTGGGAATATGTTAGCTACTGTGTGCTGACTGCATATGCATGCTTTATTTTTAGTTTATATCTTTTTTTTTCTGCTTTTTCTTTCTTTTCTTTTTGGGCATTATTGGGTGCTTTTTTTGGTCATGAGGGGTGTGATTAATCTTTTCATCTGCTTTAGCTTTTTGATGAAAATTAGGATATAACTGTGTTGTGTTGTGTAGATTGTGTGTGGTGAAGATGCTGATGAGAGTTTGATTGAAAAATGGACAGATTAGAATTGATTAATTTGTTTTCAGATTAGATTTCTTGTTCCACTTTTTATCAAATGAAATGGGAAAAGTGGGTTGATAGAAAGGTGAAGCATGTGAAATGTTTTCTTAACTAGTTGAACTTTCTTAAATTTACAAAAAATCAAATAATAAAAATAATAATTAAATGAAAGAAAAGGCATTTGGCAGAAATCCCAAAACTACCATATTTGTTTAATTTATGTGGTGTTTGCTTTTTGTTATTTTGTTTTGACAATTTGATTGTCTTTTTCTTTCCAATGTGTGAAATTGTGTGTATGAATATTGTTGACATTGTGTGAATATTGTTGACAGATAAAGTAAAGAGATACCGTCCGTGCATTTACATAAATGGACTTCACAAACGTAACTGAACCAAGATCGGAAGGAGAAGAGGAGGTTAGTTATAAACTATATTATTGTATTTCTTAACAACTGTCAAAATATTGAGTATAATTTTGAATTTTCTATGCAGGAGTTGAATCCTGACATAAATGAAGATGAAATGGATACTATAGAAGGTGAAGGTGGCGATGCTCACCAAGAAGTAGTAGATGTAGATGAAGGTGCTATTGGGGATCAAAAGGATGATGAAAATGAGGGTAAAGAAGTATTTGGAAAGAAGAAGAGAAAGAAAAATTCAGTAGCTCATTTGGACTTCGAGGCATTTAAAACAGATGCTGGAATTTCAAAGTGGAAGTGTAAACATTGCAGTGCTCTTCTTGCAGTGACAAGAACCGGTACCACTAGCCATCTTTTGAATCATCGAGGCCGGTGTTTTCAAAAGAAACTTAGCAATGAAAAACAAAAGACCTTGCAATTCCAGCCTGCAAATTCAAAATTTGAGATGAATCCCTTATCAGATGGTAAGTATGATCATTCGAAGCAAAGAGAAGCCATTGCTCATTGGATTCTAATGCATGAGCAACCAATTTTGTCATCTGTTGGGCTCGCATAAGAAACTCATGGTACGTCTGGGGTTTGTTCTGACACAGCGCCCATCTGAACATTGAATTCGGCTTTAGGTCCGAATAGGCCGATACGAGCAATGTTTCCTGATGACATGGCTCCATGTTCGGTACCCATTTGTTAAAACGGGTTATACAACCTTCAAGCTTTCGTCCGCGCCTTGTACAATGTTTGTGATTGATTCTTTTGGCACTATGCACGTCTGTGATCCTATGAAATGGGCTCGAAAGGATGACTTCAGCTGCGCCCAGCTGTGGACCGAATGCGGAGGCAATGAGTGATACCACCTTTGAGCTTTCATTCCTAACGTCATGTAAAACATTCTGCATCTGAGAGCGTCTCGGGCACCGTGCAGGTTCATCCAGGAGGTTGAAAAGTCCAAGGTGCACGTCGGGGTTCGATTTACCGTCATAAAGTCCGATCTAATGCATCTTGATCTTGTCTGGTAACGGTTCACGTAATATATCGGATGACAGGGGTGACAACGAGTCGGTAGAAGGATGTTCTGTTCGGTCGAACGAGACCGAAATCGTTCATCTCAAATCTTTCTGACGAGCCTCAAGATCGGCCAGTCTTTTTCATAACTTTTTCATCTCCTTTCTGTCGCTCGCGCACGACCGTCTCTTAAGGTTTTTTGTCTTAGATCATCTTCGGTTCGATTCTTTCTCAAATGAGTAAATACAGATCGAGTCGTGTGGCGGGTCCGAGAGTTGGTAACCGACCTACTCTCATCCGTCTCTTCTCGCTCCACGTGTTCGGTCGTCTTTTCACTTAGGTTTTCGGTGGGTTTTTCTCGAGATTGTGAGGTTTCCTTTTGTGTCACCGGCCCCTTGTTTTTGTTCATCGTCGTGGTAAGGTCCTTTTTTGTCGGGGTTTTTGGTACTTGGGATACTAGTGGCTAGATTTTGTGTCATGAGATATGAAAATCCTTTAGCAAACTCCAAGTTTTTTAACAAAGCGATAAAGTCGCTCGTCGGCGAGTCTTGTCGAGTTCCTCCTTCCTCCGAGGTTTCGCGTCCGTCATGGTGACTGGATGATGACATGGTTGCTTGTTTGTAGGATGCAAGCCCTTCTTCTAGCGCCAATTGTTGTTGTATGAAAATGTCACAACAAGAAAATGAATTGTATTCTACACGGAATACTTAGTTCAACAAGTACGAACAGGGAATTTTTAATTGTAATAGACCGAATAGGAATTTTGTTCGTAACTTTCGTGTATTTATCATTAATGAGAAGAAAATTCTCTCACATTAAATGTTGTCTCTCCTTCTTTGTATAGGAAATCTAAGGTCTTTGTTACAATCCTTCTTTCAATTTTCATGTTCATTTTTATTTTCGAGATCTTTTAAGATATTATTGTACATGAACATTAAATGCTTAGCTTAGTACTTGGATAGTTTAATCCCGATACGGATGAGGACTCCAGCTTTCAACATGTGTCCTAATCAATTTATCATCTTAGGATCGCGAACTCTCGCGTCCCATCGTCATCAATGGATATCGTACGGATAATCCACTAATGTGATTCGCATTAATCAGATACCCGTCCACACTTGCTCATCTGAACTGCCCGAAAGATGGTTGCCATTCGTTCCCATTTCGTTTCTTCGGACCGTTTCCTCCTTTCAATCCTTATTGGATACGAATTCGAACAAATTACTTTTAATTCGGTATGGATTTCAACAGTTCGGTTGGCGCCCCGTACATCTTCCTTATATCTTCTCCAAAACGTTGAGAATTCTTTAATTGTAGGTCGTTCATCCTTTATAGTCATTGTCGCATAGTCCTTGTCCTACAAGAGAGAATAAATTAATTATTGTATACAATACAACTCATTATTGCAAGAGGTATATATGGCTCATTTTCTAAAATTTAAACGGAAATGACATATAGGACTCAATAATACATACTACAGTAAATATATATCATTTACTATGAACTTAATTAATTTACAAGTAAATAAATAAAAAACTTCCATTCAATTTATTTTGCTTTCCTAATAATAAAATCTTCTAAAAAGCACTTGGGTTTTTTGACGATGTCGAACTAATATTTTTACAATTAACTAACCTAGCAAAATCGAGTGATGATTAAAACTTAAGAAATTAAACTGACATAATTTATTTAATAAATAAAAGCTTGTGAAAAAATAAAACTAAGCAAGAATAATGAAATAGAATCTAGATTATGTTTCATCATAAATTAATTCATGAACCATTCAAATGCAATCAAATTTCATGTAATTCTACCAATAGTAGATATAATCACTAAATTAATTTAATTGCTCTCTCGGACAAGTTAAATTGTAGATTAATTGTTATCTAACTCATCCGGTCTCAAGATAAACAATCAACTCTCTAATTTTTTAGGATTTTCGTTTCTAGTATTTTATCAATCTCTCGGTCCATTTAGCTTATTTAAGTTATAATTTTCAATTATAGCAATCAATTATCTCCTCACGGTTTCAAATAGATCACAAATATGTATTCATAGCGCCTGCCTACTCATACAATAAAAATAAGCACAAGAAATTAATAAGATAAACCGGAATGAATTAAATAACCCTTAAACATCATCGATTGATTGGCGTTAGTCACCACTCTTTTTAAACTAAATCATAAATCAATCCGACTACTGACAAATTCTAGAATCTAAAATAATTTAGCCTATAAACATGGCTTTGGAATCATGAAAATATAAGATAAACGTTATGTTCAAAAAATAGAAAAAAAAAATAAAAAAAATGAAGAAAAAGCTTATTTTGCTTCTTCGATCTCTTTCTCCTCAGTTTTCTAAGGCAGCTAAACGGTCAGCCTTCGTGGCATTTTCCGGCAGTAACAGCAGCCCTCTTGTCCAGTTACGTGACAGAATTCGATCTTCGTTATACTCACAGGATTAATTCGGAGTCACCGTCAGGTAATTCAGTTGCTATATTGGTGATTGGTACAGTTGATTTGAGAAGTAACTTAATGATCAAGTACATTGTGACATGTTTTAGTTGCTATAATATTGTTTCTTTCTTCTCATTAAGATTTAAACACAGACAGAATACCCTTCCTTCTACTATATAAGGGCAAAGCTCATTCTCCATGTATATGAATTTTGCATACACTTTAGTATCTCATATCTCAAATTCATCATATTCATCGCTTTAAACACTTCGTTAATAATAGTCTGATTATATTCTGAATCCTTTTTTCTTTGTTTCTTTTTTNAAGCTGCTCAATCATGGTCAGTTTTTCTTGATAGAGTGTTGAAATTTTTTTCTGCTGACTCTAACTTGCAGGAGACTCTAAATAAAGCCGTCGAGTTGCTTCCGGAACAAAAATACGAGGACTCAATGTATATACCGGCTTTATTATTTGCTGCAAAGATATGTGCTTGGAATTTACAGTATTTTCAAAAAGGGATTAATTTTTTCACAAAGAACAGTCGAAAGTTCGCAAAGGACGTGTGATGGGCTGACGGGTGTTTCACATTGGCATGTTAGGCATCTCACTATCGGCTAATTGTAACTCTGCTGTGACTGAGTGAGAGGATTGAAAATCAAGCAAAGGCAATCAAATATCTTGAAATTGTCGATAAAACAACAAAAATGGATGAGCCCTTGTTGACTGTTGTTTATCGTTTGTGTTTAGGAAATGCCGAGCAGAGAAAATTGAATGCAGCACTTCAGTTTGGGAAAAGCTTGATCTTATTGGAAAGAGGGTCAAATATTAGAGGATGTGCCTTGTTAGCTCGAATATTATCTGCAAAGTAGTGTTTTCCTGAAGCTTAAAGTATTACATATGAGGACGCACTCGTCTTCTTCAGTTATGACTCTATTTCTCTTGTAACTTGCTTTAACTTGATAGTGACTCGTTTTTCATTGATTTCCAATCTATACACTTTACAATTAGAACATTGGAGATAATAGTTCCTTGAATTTGGCAATTAGGACTATTTTTGTTGGTTGTATGTTTCGAAAGTTCCATTACTCTGTGGTAGACTTGCTAGAAGTCAGCGACGTAAGAATTACTCTGTGGTAGACTTGCTAGAAGTCAGCTTAGTCTTACATCGCGTTCTAGTTTATTCAATCTTTTTATTGTTGATACAAATGTTCTACCTAGAAGTCAGCTTAGTCTTACATCGCATTCTAGTTTATTCGATCTTTTTATTGTTTATACAAATGTTCCAACTTTTTCTTCAGCCATTTTCAGGAGAATCAGAACTACATTAGTGGAGCTGGAAACACGGCATCATCTGGCTTCCATCTACATCAAATTGTCAGCTTTGTATTTCCAAATCTTGAACTTAAAACAAGAATATAACTAAAATTGGAAAGCCTGCAATGTCTCGAACATGGCCGACTTACATCCCACAGCCTATTACCCATTTCTTCATGTATTATATTTACAATGATAAAAGAGCAAAACAAGTACCTTCCTCCCGTTGTAACAACAAAGATAAAAGACAGAACAAGTGAACATAAATTCATATTCATGGAATAACTAATAACACCGAAAGGAAAAACTAGAAAGCAGCAGCAGTGTGCATAAATCCATCCCCTCAGAAGGTTTCAAGTTCTGACCAATTCATTACACCAAAAAACTACTCTTCCAAGATAAATCAAACCATCCACTCAAAAGTTCAAAGCCATACAACTAATAACAAGCTCAAATAACGATTTAGACGCAGTTTTATTGGACACAGCACAATCCAGAAAATGGTCTAAACATCACAAAATCTACACATGAAGATTTTCAGACACACAATTGCTTCATCCAAATAAATATCATACGCCAATTCAGACAAATCCACTCGAGCAAATTATTTTTACTGTTCAACCAATGGTCAAATTGTCCTCAACGCATGTTGTCACGACGCCTCACATATCGGGTACGGTCATTGTACCTTGGCCTGTCTTGAGCTCTCTGAGGCGCCGGTTCAACCCTCCTTTGTCTCTCGGGACTTCGTTGGACAATCTCTCCATTCACAAGCAACTCGGCTGCCAAAAAACAAGAAAAAAAAAATGAGAAATGTAAGGGTAGGGAAATTAACATGTCTATAACTGGTATTTTTTTCAGGCTCTATAAATTACACATCGCCTACATGTTTTCAGTCGAAAAAGACTGCAGGTCAAGACTGAGTAGTACCGAATTTGTCAGGAAATGCAAATTGCTAACATAAAGACTGAATGTTTGTGTGTTCTCATCAATTATAATTACAAATACGAAAACTGACCTCCATAGTCCTTGTTTTCAGCATCAACATAGGAATCTGGAAGAACAAACAGAACACCGGGCAAACCTGCATAAACCATTGGGACATATTCACACTAAATTCCACAATAGAAGGTATTGAGTTCTTGTTATAAAGACATTTCCTAGGCACTAACCTTCGAGCTTGTTAGAAGTATCCTCATCGATTTCGCACCCAAACCCAAAATACCTCTCACAGGAAACATTATATATCTTTTTCTTGGCTTCCTCCTCACTATCAACGACCAGAGCAACAAAATCACAATAATCCAACATAAGAATATTTGATAACACATATACTAAGTGAGCAATTTCCAGTATCAATGTCCGCACTATTTCTCCATTAACCTAACTAATAATTGAGATGCGAAAAAAAAATAAACAAATAAAAAAAAATCTTTTACCTTCCTACAACTTTGGCTAGGGTTTGGATATAGCAATCTATCATCTGCTGCTTCGTGGCCCCTTCACCGCCAGGCTTGTCCATCACTATAAGCCAGTGCTCGTAATCACATCCAGGGAAAAGCGGCGCCATCTCGGTGGGCGGCCGGTCGTTAAAGTTGGAACCAGGATTCAGCGGCGAATATGGAGTACCAGATCGGCCGCCGACCCGGCACCGCACCGGGTTGACCCTGACAGGAGAAATGACTCGGAGCGAGTGGGATAACGCGGGCGTGGCATATCGTATTGCGGAAATCGGGTGGCGGAACCCAGGGAGAGGCGGTGGTTTGGTTACGGTGGAGGAGAAGAGACGTTTCTGGAGGAGGGAGACGGTGGCTCCGGGTGATCGGACGGTTAGGATCGATCGGGAGATGGTGGCGGCCATTGCTAGGTTAGGGCAGCGAGAGACGGTAAAATGGACGAGGGTTTTGAGTGGGTGTGGGGTGTGTTCTGGGGTTTAGATAAGCCAACGGGAAATGATATTTATTTTGTTGTGTGGGTGAAAATTGCAATATTGTCCCAAGACTTCCATTCGTTTAAAAGTTTAAGTAGGGCTAAAATGTATTTTTAGTCTTATTCATGTAATAATTGTTATTATAAATATATTCTTCCTAGTACAATACTAGTATACTACACAAAGTACTAAAAAATATGCAAAATTAAATAATAATAATAATAATAAAAATTATTTTAATTTTTAAATATTTTTTTTAAAAAATATATTAATATTTATATTAAAAATGACATTGTCACTTACGCGACTAATCATCTTATATTATATTTTTTTATTTTATCAGATAACAACTTTATAGTTAAGTTAGTTTAAATAATTCTTTTTTGAATTACTATTAATAAATAATTAATTTTAAATATAAAGATAAAAATTTATTTATTTATTTTCTTTGTATAAAATAGATGTCAAATCGAAACTCATCAAGACATGATTAATTTGATATATTATATATAAAAAAATTGTTAATAAATAAAAATTTTATTAACTTTTACATATATTCGTAATTCAAATTAGTAGATTTGATATAATTTTAAAAGAAATATGAAGAAAAAATAAAGATTGGGAAAAGAATTATACCTTATAAAAATCACGTCTACAATAGAAAATGATATTAAAACATAATTAATGTTCTTAAAAAGGACCATAAATATTCAGTATATTAATGGACATTCCCAACCTAATCCCCTATATATATAATTTCAAAATGAGTTGAGTCTACGTGACAAACTTTCATGCTTCGTAATCCTATTTGACAAAAAACAATGCTTTGGAGTTAGGTTTGGATATAAATTAATATTTTTTATTACACTAAATTCATGATTGATTTTTTCTTCTTTACTTTTATAAATTTTTATATTTGTTTTTCCTACATTGACATACATTACATTTCATTTTCTTATTTAACTCATACATCAATTATTACAAATGCTTCTTATTCTTATTTTTAAGATTTTCTAACTTTTTTATTTGTATATTGTTTTGCATATATGATATACCAAATCAACTATCTTTCAACGATTTTTGATTTGGCATCCATATTATATATATATAACACAAAATAATAATATATCATTATAAATAGAATTTAAATTTATTTATAAAGATATATTAAAAATATCGAATAAAACTATTAATTATATTATACAGTAATAGAAATTTATGTATATTAACATACCATAAAATAGTTATTTTATTTGAGAAAAAAATATATAAATAAGTTTGAACACCAAATTAATATAAATAAATATTCTAAAAATTTATGTCTCAACTTACATATAGACTACATAGAGATTGAACATTATAATGATCTTGAAAAAAAAAAGTGATAATCAAAATTATAAAAATAATTATTATACTTCATAAAGTTTAAAATCTCCCTATATATAATTATTAGATGCCTAATACATCAAATGTCGTATCAGTCGTGCTTCACAGTAAATTTCTTATATAATTCATTCATTGGTTTTGATAAATGTTTCTTCTTCTTATTTTAAGATTTTATAACTTTTTTGTTTGTATTTTATTTTTCATATATGATATATAAAATTAACTATCTTTTAACGATTTCGATTTGACACCCATATTATATATATATATATATATATATATAATACAAAATAGTAATATATATCCCTATAAATATCCCTATAAATTATTATTATAATTTACTCTTGTCGCGATCTGTTGCCTATTATCCAATGAACCCGTCGGTCCACCCCCACTTCCAGATCCGCCAACGACCTGATTGATTACCCCTGCAGTGGGACTGCCGAGCTCACCCTTAATCCCTGTCTGACCTTCCTTCCCTCCTGGGGTCACTGACTGCCCTTGAGTATCTTTTGCCGGTGTCGTGGTGATACCTGATGTCGGTAAGGTTTCCTTGGGCATAACAATCGTCTTTGACCACCCCGGCGGGGGTCCATCTCCAAACGCCCTCCGCGTCCATGCTTCGTCCAGGTCTTTTATCAGATTCTTCTTTAGGTTGTCATCAGTCATGGTGAATGTTGGTGAGAAAAATCAGCCTCTTATCTCAAGTTGTAGAAACTGAATCTTCCCACAGACGGCGCCAATTTGATACGTCAAATTGTCTCGAACCGTTGGACCACTTCTCCGAATCGATTTGCCCTCCTTGAATCGCCGGTTACCTGCAAGTACGCCGGGGGTGGTCCCAGCGCAAACACTCCGACGCCCAAGTCAATGAAAAATTCAGGAGAAGTAGCAGATATGGAAGACAAAGCGTATGTGTATATCTTGTGTGTTGTGTAAAAAGTTAGGAAATACCCCTTTTTATATTCGAATGTGGACGCCCTAGAGACTCCAGTAATAACAAGAGTCCCCCTTCTATCTGCCTCTTGGCAATGCAAATCTTATTCAACGACCAGAGAGTCCTGTTCGACCCTATCTCCTTATAATCCGGGAGGATCCCCGCGATGCGCGCAACAGCATTTTGTTGTAACATCGTCCACACCCATCTACTAGGCTAAGCTCTTCCTTTGCACCGCTAAGCTCATTCCCAACATTCAGGTGTGTTCTCCCAAGGTCTGCTTCGTTTATCAGCTCGGCCACCTGCCCAACCTACAAGCTCAGCTTCCCACGGTTGACCAACTAGCTCGGCTAGCCCGCTAGGTTCCTGCATTTGGTCGCATTTATTCATAATACGCCGAGCTCATCTGAGCTCCGGCACTTACTTTGAATCGACTGGGTCAGCCTACTTGCCGAGCTACTTCCTTTAATGTGATATCAGCGATGCTATGCTACATCAATATCCCTATAAATAAAATTTAAATTTATTTATCAAACTAAATTAAATTATATCAAATAAAGCTATAAATTATATTATAAAAAATTCAACACGAGTTGACATTTTCATTTAATGTACGGGTGTTTAATTATTATGATTAAAAAAATATGATTTGACAATTTAATTAAAACCCAAAGTAATGTTTTGTATAAATTTTGATTATTTTAGTTTTTTAAAAAAATAAAAAATTTAATATTTTTTACAAAAGTTTTTTAATTCAACACCCATATAATACACATGCATTGTACTAGTTACTTTTGAATTAAATTAAAATTCATCAAGCCAAACGACAAAACTTAAAAATTTGCCACATAGGATCAGAAAGGGTGCGAGTCTGTCACTTAGGCTTAACACATTCGAGAATTATATATAAGAGGATATAGACATTACTAATAAAAAAATTGGGCGTGAAGACCATTAGCTAGGGAAATTAGGTTAGGTTATGATATAGCCATACTCGCATAAATCGGTAATAACAGCTCGAGCGGGCCGTAAGTCGAGCTGTCTATGACGATTCGGGTTAAGCATATCGACCCGCTACATAATTCGAGGTCAAGTATATTCATGGATAACGACTCAAGATCCTCGAGTCGACTTGTGAGAAAGGCTAATGATACAAAGGTTTGAAGGAAGAGCAGCCGTAGAATGGCTCGAAGTCAGCGAGGAGACGAGCATATAAGGACGATCTAAGAGCGACTTGCGAGGAAGACGAGCATGAAGATAGCAGCCTCTACGTACCGATGTAAGTCGTAGTCGACCTCATGTATCTCGAGGTCGACCTTTACTAGACCTAGCGACTCGAGGTTTATGCAGAAGAACATATTTTAGACACCAGTGAAGAAGAATAACCCGAGGGACTCGAAGATGGTCCGATAATGAGAAAGGGGCGACAATAGTATCTCGGGGCCGATTTCACTCGCCTTGCACCTCGAGGTCGACTTCATCTGCCTCACTGCTTGATATTCGCATCTAGGAATTATCTCAATACACAATAGGTTTTTATGGATAAAGATGAATCTTTATAGGACAAGATGAAATCTTAAGCTGACTAAGAAGTGATTAGAATATGGATAACACTAAAGGTTCGGGCAACCGGACATGCTGACCACGGGCACTCGGGCAAGGCACTCCGGGCAGGTATTTCTCCTATAAAATGAGCAGAGGTATCACCATTTCACAACTTTACACTTTCTACACATTTCATACTGCTCTTTCTGCAGAGCATCTCTCCCCCTTTTTGATACTGACTTAAACTTCGGAGACTCTACGCCGGAAACCCCTATGGCGTTGAATTCTTGCAGGTGTTCGTGGCAATTCAGAAGCGGTTCAGACGAATCGAAGCTCATCTCAACTGGTTCACTCCATATCTAGGAGATGACCCATCAAGTTAGATTATGTCTATTTTGTAAAGCCTATAAAAGGTAGGATACAGGTGAATGAAAAGTTAATTTTTCTGCTTCTCTATCTCTGGTTCTCTACTGTGATATTGTGGTTTGTGTGGAATGAAGAATACTTTTTTGAGATTTCAAGATTTTGTAGGAATACGTGGAAATCTCTAAAAGTGGGATTTGAGATGGAATTTTGGATAAGTTTTTGTTTATGAAATATCAACAAATCTTCAAAATCTTAGTAAATCTCAATGTCAAATAATTTAAATACTTCATGATATATTAAAATTTTTTGAAATATCAAATAAATACTTCAAAACTTTTAAAAGTATTGAAAAATCCAAATAAAACACATCTGGATTCCTAAAGTCCCAACCGATATGTAAGAATCACCAATAAATTCACATCTCTAAATTAAATAAATTAAAAGGTCTAAAGTCTTTAGAAATTTTAAACGAATGCATCAACATAATTTCAAAATTAAATAAATTAGAAGGTCTAAAGTCTTTAAAAATTTTAAACGAATGTCAACATAATTTCAAATGGGTTAAAAATTTTTTACCATATGAACTATCACGATTTTGGCGCTTTACCATATAAACTTTTCTTTTTGCAAACCACTATCTGAACTACGTGAGTTTGTCAAATTGCTCACTATACCAGGTTTAAACCCGGTTTCACCTCATTAAAACTGGTTTTTTGAGGGTATTTTAGGAATTTCGACTATTTAAAAGAAAAAGAAGAAAAAACTGAAGAAAACAAATGTGGAGAACTCTGCACCCCATTTCAGTCTATTGCTCGTGCCTATTGGACTCTACTCGAGCCCGACAAGAATTACCTCGAGCACAATTGTTCCGACCAAACGAATTTGCCGCCGGAGGCCGAGGAGGAGGTCGAGGTTGTAGAGGACGTCTATGTTAATGGTGACGAAAAAGTAGCCGAGGTGCGTGAGGGAGAGGCTTTTGCCGGTGGTGGTGTTCTTGTCGCCTTTGCCGGAGGTGATGACCACGATGCGTGGGGTCTCTCCGAAGTGCTGCGGCTTGCAGATATGCTGGAGGAGGATTCAGATTGGGGCAGCGGCTGCTAGGGTTTTGGGTTGTGCTGGAGGGCACGAATTGAGGCGGCGGTGGCTAGGATTTTGGTCGGCATCTAGAGGGTTTTTTAGGGTTGAGGTGCGGCGGCGATGGATAGAGTTTTTGTCGTCCTCCAGATGGGTTTTTTAGGGGTTGAAGTGCGGCGGCAGCGGCATACGATTTTGGGTTGTGTTGGAGGAGGCTTGGATTGGGGAGGTGGCTAGGGTTTTGGTCGGCTTTCTGAGGGATTTTTTAGGGTTGAGCTGCGGTGGCGAAGGTTTGCTGTGGTGACGAGGCTTAGTCGACACCAACGGGTTTCGGGCGGCGAGTTTTAGGCTGGATACAAATTTTCTTAATTTGTTTTTAAAAAAATAAAAATGAATAAAAATTGGGTTGGTAGTTGAGAATTTGACAAAGAATAGGGGTTAATTTGTTATATTTGAATAGTTTATAAATTATGATTTTGTCCTTTGGGTACTTTTGTAATATTTTAAAAATTTGTAATTCCCAAAATATCCTTGTAAATCAGCTTATTTGTTACAAAACCACTTTAAATACGGTTTTGGATGGCAAAGTGAAACAAACGTGTAGTTCAGATGGTGGTTTGCAAAAAAAAAATTTATATGGTAAAACGCCAAAATCGTGATAGTTCGGATGACAAAAAGTTTTTAACCCATTTCAAATATATGTTTATCCTATCAAATTAAAATATTATATTTTTTTAAAATAGTATTAATATAAACATGATATTTTACAACATAAATATATACACTTATTACCTTTTTTTTTTCCGAAAATATATTTATTCCGTACTATTGCACCAGCGCCCTCAAACAATATTTTGTATTGCTTTTTCCGTCCACATCCAGTCCCATGACTCCCATCCAAATTTATCGTCTTTCACATTTAAAAAAAAATAAAAATAAGAAAAAAATACCATTATTCGTTCACAAAATCAAAATGGACGGAAATATACAGCTTGAACGGCCATCCGGCTAACTCTTCATCTCAAACCGGTCAACTCCGCCGTTAAAAAAGAGAAAAGAAGAAAAAAAAAGAAAAAGAGAAAGAAAAAGAAAAAAAAAGGAGCAGCGTAAAAGACTTTTTGGCGGGAGTTGAATACATTCAGCAAGCCAAAAACCGCCATTACACATTCAGCTATTCGCGCTCTTGCCCAAATCCGTCGCACAATAAAGCGGGAAAATGGCTGCTTTATCTCTCCTCCAAACCCTACAGAGCTTGCAGAAGCCCTACATAGAGTAACAGTGAGAACAAAAGCAGGAAAGAAGAGGATTTTCGCAATGTCAGAGGCTGCGAGGATGCTTAACCCTTGGTGTTTCCATGTCCAGAAGCTCGGGCTCGAGCTCAAGTGCCCCATCTGGTATGTTCTTTTTGGTGTGTGTATAGACGGTGGTTTATTCATCTTGGCTTTATGAAACTACGGTGCCCTAAATCTCCCATTTTCTTTTTGTGCCATTTTATAGTTTGAATTTGCTGTACAAACCCGTTTTGCTTCCTTGCAATCACATCTTCTGCAAGTAAGTTGCACCTCTGTCCTTTTTTTACCCTAAAAACGTAAACTTTGTAATGTGCAATCGCCGTAATTTTTTTGTTGGTTTCCCCCAATTTTCATGACCTTGAATTTTACTGAAAAGTTTGCATATGGCTTGATTTGTATTTATGTAGTTCTTGTGTCCCTGCGCGATCCCAATTTAGCACCCAGTGTCCTGCATGTCAGCAGCAATTTACCGATCAAGGTACAAACAAATTGTCGATCAATTTCCCTCCTCCGAACCTTTGCTCTGTTCATAGGCTTAACTGCTTCTTGTTTAGTTCTTTGATTGTCAAGTAAAAATGTTGTTTTTTTGAAAGATTTTGCTGCTGTGTTACAGATATCCGGCCCGCTTCTCATTTGGAGAACATTGTTTCCATTTACAAAAATTTGGACTCAACATTCAACTCTTCCGTGTTGCCACTTTTATCTTCTGGTATACCTTGAAATCTTTTTTTGTGCCCCTTTTGTAATGTCAGTATTGAGATACAATTGTGCTAATTGACTCAACTAACAGCATCCAAAGAGGAGAGTAATCATACTGGTGCTCTGATAATTAACCGGATTTCAAGCGGACTTGAGTTAACTAAATGTTCTGTGTCAGAAGAGGTGGATCTGAATCATGCTCCAGATATGTCTCCTTCTTCCTGTGAGGATGTCAAACACGCAGGTCACAAAAACGAAGCAGGAAGCAGAACTGGGGTAAGATTCAAGGCATATAGTTAACTGAAAGTAGCTTGTGTGTATAGCTGGTTATGCATAATCCTGATCTGGTCAGTTTAGGCAGTCAGAAAATTAATCAACTGCTGTCAGATTTTACTTTTCTCATGTGAAGACACTTGCTAACTAATATTCTTCTACAGAAAATGCTTCAACATGCTTGTGAGAATATATGGAATTAATTTGGTTATAATGGCATCCTCAGCATCCATTATATCTTCTCGCCCTGTGAACTGTTATCCAAAGATAATGTGCTTGATTATCCATTCTGTTTTTAATCGGCTAGAGGCTTATTATAATTTGCGGAGTGAAAATTGACAGATCTTTAAATTATTATATTTGTTTTTGAGGAATACTATATTAAAAAAATGGTGTGAAGTTCTTGTCTTGATTAATTTTGTTCAGGATGGCCAATGTTTTTAAAATTGGTTGTCTAATGGTCCATGAACTATTGGCTTAGCCACATAAAAGTTAACTTTCGTGTGTACAGCTTATACTTCTTGTCAATTGGTGCTCATTCTTAAAAATATTGAGCTGTCAGTTAGCAACATTTCTAATATCTATGAATTTATATGTTAATGTTGTATGCATCTGTTTTTTTTACTGATATTTTGTAGCTCAACTCTGCAGGGAACACCGATCCATCCAGTCAAGAAACGAGTCGGAGATAATTTAGGTACAACAGCTAGTGAAAGGGATGATAAAGATGCATCTCATACTAGGGAACTTAAGAGACAAAAGAAACTGGACTATGGATTAGCTGATGCAGCTTTGCATAAACACGGGCAAAGCCAGCAAATAATTTCCCATAACGATCAAGCTTCAGTTTCCAACTATAATAAGGAATGCAAATCTAAGGAAGTAACCTGTGATGTTTTGGACTTGAATGGAAGTGTTTGTGCATTTTGCCATTCCTCTGTGATCACAGAAGTAATTTTCTTATGTAGATGATGCCACTCATTCTCCTCATATAAGTTGACAGGTTTTAAAATTTTATTTGATATATTAACTGGTGTCTTTTTAGGCAACTGGCCCGCTGCTGTACTATGCAGATGGAAAGGAGGTAGAAAGAGGTGCTGCTTTTCCAAATGCTATCCCAGTTCATAATAGATGCATATTATGGTAAGTAGATATTATGAAGCAACCTTGTTACCTACTAAAATGTGGTACTAAACTTGCTTACCTATAAATTACAAAAGGTCAATAAGTATGTGATGTTGATTGTTACGGTGTAATATTTCTATGGTTCAGCTGTCCTTTACCTCTGTCAAGGCATAATATTCTAGCTTGTAGGCGATGCTAAAAAGAAATACTAATATTTGGTTCCCATTTCTGGATATCTCATGTTACAATCATTTGCGGTATATCTATGAAGCTTTTGAAGAGCCCAACTCTTTATGAAATTACTTAAACTCACTCTGGTTCTGGCTTTTTTGTTATTATATCCTCAAAGTATACATGCCAATGATTTGTAATTCAGATAATTCTTTCACATGCATGGGCAGTTTTACAATATCTGCAGATTCCAGTGCAAATAATTCTGTAAAATGAAATAAGGTGTCCAGGGGCTAACACACTCAATCTTGTGTTTTTGGTTGCAGGACTCCTAAAGTGTATTATGAAGGGGATACAATTAACAACTTAGAGTCTGAACTGTTGAGAGCTTCTAAGCTCAAGTGCAGTAGCTGTGGGTCAAAAGGAGCTGCACTTGGCTGCTATGTTAAGTCTTGCAGGAAAACCTATCACGTGGCTTGTGCTGTGGAAGTACCAAACTGTAGATGGGATTGTGTAAGTTTGCTATGCAATTCCTTCTTTTTTTTTTCTTTTCCTTTTGTGCTATCAAGCTGGTGCATTCTCTTAATCCATTCTTATTTTTAATTATATATTTGGTTTGCAGGATGCCTACTTAATGCTGTGTCCTCTTCACAAATCGGTTAAATTTCCAAATGAAAAGTCATCCAAGTCTAGAAAGCATCGTAGTGAACAAAAGCCCTCCTTACCCATGCAAATGTACGCTTTATAATCACAACCTTGTACTTCTTCATCATTTGATTAAAATTTTAGCTGCTTAATTAGACCGGGAGCTAACTTTTGCATACTTGTTCAAGTCTCTTGGTTTCAAATCTTAGCTTATCATGACCTAGATTTATATCTAAGATTTGAGAAGATTTTGTTTACTTGTTTCCAGATGGGAAACAAGATGTCCTCTCCAAAACATTTATGCAATTTTGGTGCCTTAAACACCACTTGGGATATTTTGTTGACAATTTCCTTTGAACATTACTCAAGAATATTATGTTTTCTGCCATGATGTTCATAAATATTTATAATTGAAAACTTGGAATAAGCAAACCAAAAACAAATTTCTCAACAATTTCTAATAACTAATTGGAAGAGTCATTGTTGACAATTCTCCTGGCATAGTGCTAATAATGGATTAGATCAAAATGGCTCAATTAAATTCTAGTGCTTCTTCTATTAGTGAAGTTTCTAGAAAAAAAAAAATATCAAACGGCGCAATGCACCTTGGGTCGCTACGGAAACAACCACCTTGTATAATTACAAGGGTAAGGTCTGCATACAATTGACCCTCCAAACCCCAACCTGTTGGGAATATACTGGGTATGTTGTTGTTGTTGTTGTTGTTGTTGTAATAAAGTATCTACTATAGGTATAGGGTGTTTAGATTGTTCTTATTAATGGCAATCAATACTTGCATGGATATAGGCTGCTAGGGATCGGATATATAAGCTAAACTCCAAATTGTAATATTGTTTAATGCCTTGAATTCAGTGCTCCTGAACAGTCAAACTTTTGGTCAAACCACCCAACTGGGCCTCAAGAGTGGGTCTTGTGTGGATCTTCTTTGTCATCAGATGATAAGGTTGGTTTCTATTCACATTATTTATTAAAATATCTTCTGGTTTTTTGTTTGTTTTTTTTAAATATGTGCACTGAAATTGTAGAGATAAATGTTTATGTTTATTTGTAACAATTACTAATTGATTAATTAGAGTATCAATTAAAGTGATTGTATCACTTATAATAGTGTTTTTTATAGGCAAGTTTTTAGGAGTCGATTAATTGTTATGTCTCCTATTTATACCTTGTAACTGGCATGTAATAAACCTAATAAATAAAATGACAAGTCAATTTTATCTTCTTTCAAACATCATGGTACCAGAGCTGTACATGGTTCTCTAAAGTACCATACCAATTCCATTTGGTAATTTTGTTTTTAGTAATGCTATTTAACCAACTTGGATGACAACTTGGGTTACAACCCAAGTGTAAATGTATTATCAAAAAATTAATAAAAATAATACATTTACACTTGAGTTGTAAGTCAAGTTGTAACTCAAGTGGGCTCTATACCATTGCTCTTTTTTTTTTTTTGGGAACAAGATAAAATTGACTTGTCATTTTTTTTAATTATGTTTAGTACGTACCAGTTACAAGGCATAAATAGGATACATAAGAATCAATCAACGCCTAAAAACTAGCCTATTAAAAACACAATAAGTCATACAATCACTTTCACTGATACTACTCCTTTAATAAGACCTCTACTTAATCAATTAGTAATCTTTACAAATAGACATAAACATTTCTCTATAGAAATATTATGGTTTTTTTATTTTTTTATTTTTTTATCAAGAACTAATTTCATATTTTGATCTCTGGTTGTGGCCCAGTGTTTGTTGGTTGATTTTGCTTCAATGTGTGACGCTACTGTGTTCAAGTTCTGGAATCCAAATGTTACCCATGTGATTGCAGCCACAGATGAAAATGGTGCATGCAGTAGAACTTTGAAAGTTCTCATGGGGATTCTGAATGGGAGATGGATCCTTACTACTGATTGTAAGCTCTACATCCAGTTCAATGATTTTAACTAGATTTGTACGTAGTTATGAGTTTTGTGAAATAGTTTATGGTGTGAAGCAAAGTAGAGCAGGATCAAATGATTTCTATTGTATTTTGCATATCAGGGATAAAAGCTTGCATGGAAGCAAATGCATATGTGGATGAAGAGCCATATGAAGTTAGTCTGGACAACCATGGTTGTCGTGGTGGGCCCAAAAGTGGCAGATTGAGGGCATCAAATAATGTAAGAGCACTAACTTTGATGGTCATTTTTCCTATTTGCTTATATTGGTATGGTAATCATATTATGTTCATAAATGTATACTTTGCCATTAACTTGACAATTGACATTTGCGTTACCATTTTCTTCCACTTAACTGCATCAAGAACTAGATTTTTGTATTTTTAATTTTGCTGGAAAAATCTGGTTTTATTTGTCAGATTTGGTCTTAATGAAAAAATGTCGAGGGCTTGACCATTTTGTTTTCTCTCTCTCTCTCTCTTTTTGTGGCACAGGCTCCAAAGCTTTTCGATAAGTTCAACTTCTATTTTTTTGGAGAGTTTGTCCCATCTTACAAGAGCAACATCTTGGAGTTGGTCCGAGTTGGTGGAGGTACAATTATTACGAGCTTGGAGGGTATGGTCGAACAAAACAAGCATGATCAACACGCGACTGCTACAACTTTTGTTGTCTACAATGATGTTAACCTTCAAGGCTGCCTCTCAAAAGACGATTCTATCCTCGAGAGATTAGCTAAGGATGCGTGCAAGGACACTGATGCTCGGGTCATTCCACACACATGGATCTTGGAGTCAATAGCTGCATGTCGGGTTTTGTCTGTTCCTTTTTGTTGATTTTGTCTTCCTTTTTTTCCTTAACAAATATCAAAGAATTGTTTTA